CCGAGCCAGCGCGACAGGTCCCAGACTCCGTCCCCGCCCAGGCCAACCCAGAGCCTCCGGAGCTGCCACTACCAACGCCACAACCAACCTCCCCGCCCCGGGCTCCCGAGGTACATCCGACAGGCGCCCCGGAACCACGCCGCTCCACAAGGACTCGGAAACCCCCAACACACCTACAGGACTTTGTGTGCGGGTAGCCTGGACTATGGGGGGAGGGGTGTAATGTATCCGCCATTACCACGTGCGCGACCGTTGGGCCATGCGGTCAAGCACAAGCCCAGAGCTTCGTCCCTGCAGAACAATAGCGGAGCGGATCCTAGCCCGCACCAACCAGAGGGCCAGGTCCGCGGCCGAGAGCCAATGGGACTCTCGGCCACTGTAAATAACCTATAGGGTCACTAGGGGGTGTGTTTTGGTGGTGGGTTTCTGAGCATATATACCGGCCTGCGTGCCGGGGTTTTTTGTCTTGTTCCTCACTAATAAAGTACTCTTTGCTGAATCACTCCACGTTTCCGAGTACTTTTCAGAAATAAAGCTGAAATCACTTGTTGAACTGTTCCTCCAAGTTAAGTGTCATACTTAACATAGCCTATTGACTTCAATGTGCTTAGAAGGGTGTGACTCTGTTTAGGACCAGCTATGTTGGCTTAAATCTTTATAAATTGTACTGACAAATTAGCTTCCTGAGTCCAGCAGTATGAACTGTGTTCATGGCCAGTGATTCTCACTCCCTCTCATAGAGAAGGGCAAGTTGTCTATCAGTCTATCCACTTTTAACACACCCTTCCTCCAAGGAACTCAGGGCCATATATACAGCTCACTATTTCCTAGGGCTGCCAGTTTGGTGTAGCGGTTAGGAGTGTGGAGTCTAATCTGGGAGAACTGGCTTTGATTCCCCACTCCCCCTCATGCAGCTGCTGGTGTGACCTTGGGTCAGTCACAAGTTCTTTCAGAGCTGTTCTCTCAAGAGCAGTCCTCGAGAGCGCTCTCTCAGCCCCACCTACCTCACAGGCAATGCTCCCTCTAAGGTGTGGGGTCTTGTGAGCAAAAATTCTACTTTGTGAGCTACTGGCATTAAGGCTGCGAGGGAGCAATTTGGCTACTGCATAAATTAGTTTGATCTGGAGCCATCCTTCCTGAGCTCAGACAAAAATGGGTGGGCTGGAGGCTAAAAAACTGTGAGCTAACTCACACTAATTCGTCTTAGAGGGAACACTGCTCAGAGGCTGTCTGTTGGGAGGGGAAGGGAAAGGAATTGTAAGCTGCTCTGAGACTCCTTCCAATCTCTTCTTCTGCCAGGTTCAGGGGACCCCCCTCCCCCTACTGCTGATCAGCTGGCTGGCTGACTGGCAGGGGGACTTCCCCTCCTGCCCCCCTTTGATCCCCACAAAAACAGTGATGAGCCCCAGGTTACCAGTGAGCTTTAGGTGAAAGGTGAAATCTGAACTCAGGCCTTCCACATCCTACCCCAATATCCTAACCACTATAGTGGTTCTTGCGTGTTATAACATATAGTACGGGTTGCCACATGGAGAAGTACCTTTGCCTGCAGCCTCTGTCTCCCGGTGGGGCATTCTTGGAGCTCAAAGATGGGCGTGGAAGGTGGCAGTTCACAGGAGCTGTATATGACAGCTGTAGGTATGGAATACTGCCACTGATGGAAGTGGGTTTTTTTGCTGCTGAGGCAAGAGTAACATGGCGGCAGTTTGTTTAGAGTGCTGGACTGGGATCTGCGAAACTGACGTTCAAATCCCAACTCGGTGCTGAGAGATGTCAAGTGAGCCAGTCATACTTTCTCACCCTGTCCCACCTCACAGGGTCGTTGCTGTGAGGGTAAAACAGGAGAGGTGGAGAATGATGTTACCAGTTTGGGGGGTGGGGAAGTGGGGTAGAAATAACTTTAGCCTGAATAAATCTTTTTAGCTCTTGAGAACCAGTACTGACTAGTAATGTTCTTCTGTAACTGTGTAGTTGTGGAAGAACTTCTGCAGTCTCTTCTGGCACTGCTTGGAATGTGGAAGGCGGCAGGAAAACTGCTTTCTTCCTCTTTGGAGAGGGCTTAACACCTCGACAAGCACCATCTGGCGGTTATTACTTGTACTACACCTAATATCAGAATATTTGTAACTCCAAGATAATGATTACAGAATGAGAGGAGCATGCATCTATGCCAACGTGAGGCTGTGTTGTACTTCTGTAGCTTCTAACTGAGAATACTAAGCAACTACGCCTACAAAGGATCTCAAATGTTTACTGTTGTGCTAGGTAAATGTTTTCCCATCTTTTACCTAGGGGATATTTAAATGCAAAAAAGATATTAAATGGCTTAGCTGTAGATTTTCAGACACACTTAAGGAGCTAGGCAACATACATAAGTATCAACTGAAGCCAGCCTAATGCAAGAAGGATGAGGCAACATATTTTTGGAAACAGGAAGGAGGATCATTATGGAATCAAAATCTGCCGCTTTAGAGGACTGTGTGGATTCTTCATGTTTGGGTGGCACTGCATATCAATATAAGCACACTATACTTCTGTCACATGCCCACTGTGGCAGCAATACCATTGCTGAATGTTTGTGTGCAAGAAACATTCACTGCGCTTGTGACACAGTCCCCCACCCCGCCCCCTGGAACATCATATAAATACTAGTTGGATGCCTAGGTTTTTGCATGGTGTATGGCCATTTATGAGCACAGAGGCATCAGACACAAGACTTTTCCAAGGGCATAGCCTAGAGACCACCTTAAAAACCCAGTTCCTGTTTGATATTCAGAGGGGAAAGCAGGCACCGTGCTCCTATTTGAAGGTGCATTCCCTACATTTCCTACACTTAATTGAAATATAAAATAGCCTTACACTGAAACTACTGTCTATCTAGCTCCAATATTGTCCACTCATAACTAGCAGCAGTTCTTGCAGGGTCTTCCCCAACATATGCTCCTGGAAATCCTGTATCTGAAGATAGCAGGGACTGAATATGGGACCTCCTGCATGCAAAATACAAGCATTATGGAGCCACAGCACCTGTAGTGTTAGTAGCCTGATTACCTGTGCTTGGGTTATTATCTACGATAGGACCAGCAGTAACTGCCCCTAAGATAATGCGCTTTGGACAAACCGGGAATAAGGTATATGCAAGCATCAGAAGAAATTCTGAGATTTAATTTGTAAAAAAACAGGCCGTCGTTAAAATTCATATCTTCAATTTTATTAAATTAGGAGTGCTTTGCTATTTGTTATATAAAATTGGAAAGACGTTATTTCTTCTAGAGGATACTGTTGTGTTCTAAATGCGTACATAATTGTTTTATTTTTTTTAAGGGCTTTACGCTTTTGTTTTCATCTTAAGTCCCCCCCTTTCTTGAATGCCCCGAGGGCAACTTTGCATTCCCACAGTGGGCCTCAAATAAGCAAAACAGTATTTTGTTTTTATAGCAGCATGGTTAATAATATGACTCTACTAGGGGCGCACAATTGGATTAAGTATTTTTACAAAACATTTCCCTTCCCTACTGACCTTTTGAACAGGAATAAGCCGTTAAGGTCATGGTGACCAAGAGAGGCAACAGGAAGAGAGGGACATTGTCCTGCTAGGTTATTGTGAAGAGGGAACAAAATCTGAATTTACAGACCACAGCACAAAAGGCTAAGATGGGGAGGGGAAAAAAGAGCAGATGGAGAAAGAAATAAGATGAATGAATGTTTCTTCAGACTTAAAGAATGGTCCCCCGGCGACCACACTCACTCTCCGTTTCTCTGCCTCCTTTGTAAGTCATGACTAAGAGTTGGCTGTGCTTAAATTTTAACTAGCTTCCGATTGCTGGGGATAAAACAGCGTAGAAAATAAAAAATCAATAAATTCTGTTTGGGATAGGCACTGATGAGACTCTGACCCATTTCCTTCCTGCACGGCTTACAAGTCCAGAATTCACTGTTTCAAAGAAAACGATACAAGGGCTGAAATGGGCACTCTCGTGCAATGCAGAACCACAAGAGACCATCCCGAGAGTGTGGAATTCATGGGCACAACCCACAGGAGGAAAATAGCATGCCAGCGCATATGACAGGCCAAAGTGGCACGAAAGTGGTCTGAAATGCATTTTCCATCCAGGAAACCACAGCATCTTCATCAATGAAATACTGTACAGATAGAGCTCTGCTAGGATTTAGGCTTCTATACCTTTGGTCCCTCAAATGGACCATAACAACAATGTATATGAGGGTCAAAGGACACATGAGAGGCTCATGACCAGATCACCCAACATTTTTAAATGTTTTTTAAAAGGCACCAGATAGAGGGTGGGGAGCCCTAATTCGGATGGCCCAGGCTCGCCTGATCTTGTCAGATCTTATCTCTCGCCTTGACAACCCTAAGTTGACTGACACCTGACAGCACTTTCCCCCACTAGAGGGTTGGGAATTGGATGACGTGGATTATGGAGGTGGTGGAATGTAGCCATTTGCCTCCATGCCGTTTTCCTAGTAAACAGATGCCCCTTCTGAGCTGCTGTTAGCTTGGGGAGAAACCAAGTAACAAGACTGCAACCGTTCCTTACTTCTTACCAAGATTAATAGTAGCGGGACTGGAAAGCAGAAATGTCCAGGAAAATGGTTGGACAGAAAGAGTACATTGCAGCCCCACTCCAAATTTGGGGGGGGGGGATTCCTCATAGCTGTTCTTTAGCATTTGAAAACACATCAGGAGGTCTGATCCCAAATCACCATGCAGCATGTAATTCGAGTCTCACTGCAGCCCCATCGCCAGGAAGCTGTTTCATAAGGACTTGGGCATGCAAAACAGATTCCCATTTATTGATTTACCAATGAGCACTGAGGAGCATTTTTAAAGTCTATGGTTTATTTCATAAACTTGACCCACGCTTCTAAATCAGATCAATGGGCCTTTTGCTGCAAGCCGTTCTAAAAACTCGACTGCCGGCAGGATCGCTGTGCTGGATTACTGTGCCTGCTCCGGCTCTTTTTTATCAGGCTCTGTTGGCTCTTCCTTCTCTGCTATTGCTTCTTTGGGACAGTTTATTTCTTTTCTCGTTTTGTATCCCCGGAAGCTGGCCTGGATTTTTAACGCCGCTTGCTCTTCTGTTAATTTAACGCCATTTTCCTCTGTGGTACCCGATGTCTCAGCTACCTCCTGGCAAGAGAGAGAGACCAACTTAGATGTGTACACTTTGTATTTGAACCAGCTGATGGGTTCAAAGTTTTAATATAGTATTTAAAAAGTTACAATAAAAAAAGTAACTCATGGTAATCTCTGTTTTCCCCCCAAGGCATTTTGGAAGCTGATTCCAAGGGCGGGTGGTAAAAGATGCATCTTATTTTGTCACTTTTCAAATTTGTATCTGCAACAAAGCATCGGCAAGGCTATTTTTAGTGCCGCATCTTGTGAATGTCACTTGGGCAACTTTCCATCATTTTTCAAAGTAAGTTTTGCCTCCAAAGAATGTCAGGATGATTTGCCTGCAGAGAACGTCAGGCTTTGGCGCTTAGGTAATACCAGCTGTTCCCCTTAAAGTTGCAAGAGCAAATCTCTCACTCCTGGGAGAGAAAGGAAGAACGTCAAAATAGGCTAAAGCTTCCTCAGGAATATAGGGGGGGGGGTGTTTCACACTCAAACAGTATAAAATGCACAGGGTGCTATCCAGCCAGAATCAAGCACTGTGAATCCCAGAGATTTTGACAAGAGCATTAAGCAGGCGCTTAATTCTTTCATGTTGAAAGCAATAGAAAGAGGAAGCGGTTAATTTTGTCTGCATGCATCCCCCATTCCATACTGAGACTTCCAACAAAGATCGAGCACAAGATATGAAATGGCTCTCAGCTGTGGACTGCCATGTATAAGGCCAGACTAGCAGTGATGGGGGGAACTTGTGCATGTTTATTCACGTGTCCTCCCATTCACAAGTCAAGTGTAAGATATGGGGAGGGTCCATTAAAAAAAACCCACTTGAAGGAAGTATGCAAGCAAGGGGAGTTAATCCCTCTCCCACCCTACCCTGCTGCACTTTATTCAAATTTTTTGCCCCACACCGGCTCATTTCCACTATCAGAATTAGCCTAGAAGAAATATGGTTAACCCAATGGAGCACAGGAACAAGGTGAAGAGTAGGGTTTAGTTCCCTTCACTTGCATACTTCCCTTTGGTTAAAAAAATAAACTCTGAGCTCCTTTTATGTGTGGATTGTAAGACATGCATGGATTTGGGAGGGACTGGGGCTCAGTGGCAGAGCCTCTGCTCAGCATGCGGAAGGTCTCAGGTTCAATCCCCAGCATCTCCAGTTGAAAGGAGTAGGTGATGGGAAAGACCTCTAACCTGAGAAACTGGAGAGTCGCTGTCAGTCTGAGTAGACAATCAAGGGCCAAGGGTTTGATTCAGTGTAAGGCAGCTTCATGTGACACGTGATACCACTATCACTTAAGAACATAAGAACTGGTCCATCCAATCCGGCACCGTGTTTCAAATAGAGGCCAACCAGTTACCCTGGAGGTCTAACAGGGCACAGAGGCCAAGGCCTTTTTCTAGCATTTGGTTTCAGAAATTTACTGCCTCTGAAAACGGAAGTTCCCTTTAGTCACCAGGGCAAGTAGCCACTGACGGACCTCTCCTCCAGGAATCTCTAGCCCCCTTGTAAAGCCATCTATGCTTCAGCCATCACTACCTCCACTGTGGAATTCACTGCCAATTTAATTACTCATTGAGTAAAGAATTATTTCCCATTGTCTTCCTATTGCCCATCAATATCTTTGGGTGCCACCAAACTCTACTACTATGGGAGAGGGAGAAAAAGCTCCCTCTAGTTACTTTCTCCATCCCATGCATGATTTTACAAACCTCACTCATTCCCATAGCCTTCTTTTCTCTAAATTAAAAAGCCGTAGCCTTTCCCAATAGGAAAGGTTCTCAGTTGCCCTCTTCTGTACTTTCCCCAGCTCTACACTATCCTTTTTAAAGATACAGCAACCAGAATGTACACAGTATTCCAAAAGGAGGCTTTAACTTCTAGTTTGGCTCTTAACTTACTGTGTGAATAAATTACACCCTGGTTGTCAAATCAAATTCAACTTGGGTATCTTAGCTAGGTGTTAGAAAATGAGCTGGCTGCTGGCTTATGTAAGAGAGTTAATTGTGCAACAAATATGAGCTGCGTAGGAGCTGGCTGTGGTGACACGTTATCACTCTCCCCTTGTCCGAGTAGTTTGATTTCTCAAGTCTTCACTTACAGTGGAGGAATTACTTTGCAGTCGGGGGTTCTAAACTGAAATACCAGGGAAGAAAGGAATTCATCGTCCACCACCGACAGCCAGGCTACATACTGTGTTTGGGTTCAGATCTCCAAATTTGTTTGGGGTATGGGTAGGACCTCTAAGTCTGGGGCAAGTGATGCTCTGTATTCTTGGTGCTTGGGGGGGGGGCAACAGTGGGAGGGCTTCTAGTGTCCTGGCCCCACTGCTGGACCTCCTGATGGCACCTGGTATTTTTGGCCACTGTGTGACAGTGCTGGACTGGATGGGCCATTGGCCTGATCCAACACTGGCTTCTCTTATGTTCTTATGTTCCTATGGGATCAGATCTCCACTTTTGTATTTTAATATCAAGAATGCCATGGGTGATTTAACCCTTTTCTTTTCTAATCCAGTACTTCAGGAAAGTGAGAGGCTGAGGCTGTATTTGAAGCTGGCTGAAACTGCACTCCCTTTTAGGATTAGCTCCGGCCTAACTGGCTCAGAGTGCTCTCGCTGCGGCTTTCCCCCCGAAATGCCAAGATCAGCACAGGTTAGCCAACAACAAAGAGACTGAAATTCTCAGTTTCAAGGATGATTACTTACTGATTGAGCGGATTCTTCTGTCTTCTCCTCTGCCTGACTCTTTCCTCCTGGAGGGGCAAGTTCCTGAGAAAACAGTGATCATTTTTAATACATCAGTCAGTCACCCGTAAGAGAGATAGAGATGAGGCTTTCATGCATACCGGAAAGCCAAACTTTTGCTGCCGGGAAGAGAGAGATTCACAAAACCTTCCATCCAGAAGCGTCATGGGATAGTATTTCTACAAATAAGAGGCCAGGTTAAGGAGTCTGGTGTTGTTTCTTTGACACTGTGCACTTTTATAGGAAGTCCTATCACTTCTGGTACACTTTGTTGCTCTCTGCCCCCGGATTTGCAGGACACATCACAGCAGGACCATGCTAAGCCCCTGCTGGACCTCTTTGCAAGGCTACATTCCATTCAGATCTCTACAAGAATGGTGCTTGCAAATCGTCACTCCACAATGAGGGAACCAGCCATCCGAACCTACAAATCTGTGCACGCTGCAGGAAAGGAGATGCTAACGATATACACCAAGACTTACGTTGAAAGCACGGTTGTTGTAGTATCTGTCCTCTAGTTTCGCTCCCCATTCTGTCGGATCAAATCCAGTTTCTGAAAGGAAAGCATCATAAACAAAAATAAAAGCACATTAGGAGGGGAGGGGCTGTGGTTCACTGGCAGAGCATCTGCTTGGCATGCAGAAGGCCCTAGGTTCGAGCCCCGGCATCTCCAGTTAAAAGGATCAGGTAGGAGGTGATGGGAAAGACCTCAGCCTGAGACCCTGGTGAGCCACTGCCAGACGGAGTCTACAACACTGACTTTGATGGACCAAGGGTCTGATTCCACATAAGGCAGCTTCATGTATTCAGTAGCACAGCAACTAAGAGAATGAGCTGTGAACTGCGGTTCAAATATCCCCTGCCCACAAACTCACTTAGGCAAGCTGTTCTATCTCAGTCACCGTAGCCCCATCTGCAGGACAGGGATAATACTTGGCCTATGTACAGGGTTGCTGTTAAGGTTTACGAGATAATGTGTATAAAGCCCTCTGAACACTGGAAACACTACATAAAGGCTAAATGCTTTTATTGCTAGCTCGCCTAAGAAACAAACTTAAATTTTCCTGGCCATGGTCTGACTATTAAGAGTTGCAACACAGCGGATATTAGGTGACATTTCTTGGCCTAAGTTGTGTCTGTGCTCACACCCAAGCGTGCAATGTAATGTGTGACCAGCACTTTGTGTTATTTTAAAGCAACAGATTTGACGTGTATTAGACAGGGCAAAGATAGCGTACAATGCTGGATTTATACCACTTTTGAGACACCAAGCGGCTATATCACCCACCCATCACCTTGTCTCTCTTAACATCCAACTGTAGGACACAACGGGGCAAATTCTACAGGCCCGGTCACCCCAGCTGTTGTTTCTTCTTCCTTTTCTATCCTATTCTTTTAGCTCAAAGTCCCCCAACTGGTTTTATAACAGCGACGAAACACTACAAGTCCCTTACAAAACCTTACATTTAAATAAAAAATAAAAAAATAAAATCATAACACAAACGAAGTCACGAAGAGACACAGTTTGAAACAGAGGAATTTAAAATGCCAACACAAGGAAAGGGACTGCTGCAGCAGAAGAGGAACGAGGCGATAGGAGACCGGCTGTAGCTCCGTGGCAGAGCACCTGCTTTGCGTGCAGAAGGCTCCAGCTTCAATCTCCAGCCTCTCCTGTTCAAGGAGCAGATTGCAACGGTGCCTCATACTGCCTGTCTCCCATCAGGGTCCCAAAATTGTTTGGCCGTTCTGGGCCCCCAAGAAGCCAGGCTGGCTTCGACAAGGGCCAGGGCCTTCCCAGTGGCGGCTCCATACTGGTGGAATGAGCTCCCGGAAGACATCAGGGCCCTGCAGGACCTTTTACAGTTCCGCAGGGCTTGCAAGATGGAGCTCTTCCGCCAGGCTTTCGATTAGTGACCCGCACTTAACCAGCTGAGGCCCTGGCCCCAACATGAATACCACCATCGACAGCCTGTAAACACCGATATGGCCCAGACTGAGTTGCCTGCCGATTGTACTTTATGCTACTGACACCTCGCCATTGCCATTTGATATGCACTAGCGCTTTATGTAGGTTTTTTTATATTTATATTTTATTCAATTCTCTGTATTATCTGTTTAATGGAATTTTACGTGAGCCGTCCTGAGCCTGCTTTGGTGGGGAGGGCGGGATATAAATATAAATTAAAGAACGAACTAAATAAAAATAAATACGTTGGTGCTCAGAATTTATTTTCTGGCCTTATACAAGAGTCTGTGCTTAAAAAACAAACCTCACTAGCCCTTTTAAAAAAATAAGGGCTGAGTTGCTACCTGATTTTTATTCCATGCTTCCTCCAAGGAGCTCAGAGAAGCATATATAGCGCCCTCCCATTTTATTCTCACGACCACCTTGGGAGGTAGGTTAGCTGTGAAGGTCACTGGATGACCGTGGCCCAATCACGTTCAGGCTGAGTGGGAACCTGACCTCAGATCTCCTTAATCCATCCCTCTGGTTACCAAACACCATTTCATTAAGCTGTTCGCAAATGCAGACAAGTATGCTGAAGAGTATTTGGGGGGGAGAATTCACAGAATCCTGTTGTGCAGTTCCCAGTTTGCACAACGCCGCGTACAGTGAAATGACCCCCCCGTGTTAATCTGCCTAGCAACATCCCCACAGATAGCATCCATGACATTCTGAAGCTCTGCAAAAGTTGCAGGAAATAATTATTCCAAGCCAAATGAAAAGAAAAAAACCCCGATTTTTACCTACGGCTAAGGCTCAGCCAAGAACAGAAAAACATACACAAACAGTTTTTGTGTGACACTGAACGATGGTCTCTGCTGCACACTCAGCACATTCCCCACTCACTATCTTTCCTTGTGTAACATCATCCTTCTCTGAGCATAGCAAACAAGAGGCCAGAAAGCTCTGAGCTTGCCTGTGAGTCATCCTGTAATTAAAGAACATGTTTGTAGCTTAGCAGATCAGCACGATTGCTTCCTCTGGCCCATTGCTTCCAAAAAACGCATCACAAACTTCTTCCCAGAGAACCAAGAGCTCCAAGCTAGAAAGAGAAAAGCTGCCACATCGATATGAAATCAGCCAGTAAGCCCAGGCTGATTGAGACATTTCAAATGAAGAAGGGGCCTCAAAACCATAAGGGGCTTTTCCTCCTCTCGGTTTAGTCACAGTCGTGAGGTGATTGGCCGTGAATGCAAGGAGCAGGACTGGCAGGATTGTTTGGAGGGAGCAACCAAGTATCTTCCTCACTCCTAAACGACAGCATGTAAGGAAGATGACATAAATGGGAAACGGATGCAAAATCCTGCAGAAACTTGGTCACTTGGGCCCAGGTCGGGGCAAGCAATATTCTGGCCAGTTCTTGTACACTGAGGGGTAAGAAAGCCGTCTCACAGACCTATGCTTCTTATGCCCTTCCCCTCTCCCCACCCCACCAAGAAAATACAGATTCTGCAATTTGCAAACTTAGATTTTGGAAGAATTTCCCCCCAGCACGGAGTAGCGTAATGTAAGGTATGAAAAGAAAAAGGGAAGGGCAGGACCAGTGTGGTTAAATAGCCAAGAGTATTAAAAGGCTTTCACTTGAGGTAAAAGATAACGGGACAAAACCTGACAAGTTCTGTCTCCTGATCGGTGCCAGACCTTATCGACATCCTTCACCAGACAATGTCCACAAGCTACTCTCCGCAACTGAAGGCTAGAAAGTGGCTTGTTTAAAAACGAGTACTGGAAGCCACTGTGGTGACAGTGTTCGATTTAAACTGAGGAGACTTGCATTCAGATCCTGTGAGGGAGATCACCCTAATCAATCCATGAGCAGTTTCTCTCTCGGCCTAACCTACCGCACAGAGTTGTGAGCATAAAAAGGGAGGGGAGAGGCCCGTGTACGCCATAATGAGCTTCTTGGTGGAGGGTGGACCAATACACAGAGTTTGTGCGAGATATAGGGTTGCCAGCTCTGGGTTGGGAAATTTTGAGGGTGGAGCCTGGGGCAGGTGGGGTTTAGGGAGGGGAGGGACCTCAGCAGGCTATAATGCCATAGAGTCCACACCGTAAAGCAACCACTTTCTCCAGGGGCACTGATCTTGTTCATCCAGAGACCAACTGTAATAGGGGGAGATTTCCAGAAGCTACCTGAAACTTGGCAACCCTAGTGAAATAGCACTCTGTGTGTGTGTGTGTGTTTATGCTTTGATCTTGCAGGCTTAGGGGGTAAATACACTGGTGTTCATTGGGATAAAGGAGGACATGGTATAGCTACAGAGCTTAAAAAGTTCAGAGTGCTGAGAATCACTATGAATTTCACAGCCTTTCCAGATCTTGGCAAAACAGAGGCAGAGAGGTTCAGCTTGCAGTCCTGCTTGGGAGCCTGTCCCATTGAATATTGTGGGACTTCCTTTTAAACAAACTTACTTAGGATTGGGCTGCATGGGTCTTTCCCAAGGCAGGGAGAAGAAGGATTTATGTGAGCACACAGGGAGAAGAAAGGGTGAAATCAGCTCTACTTATGCTCACTTTCTCTTTCGATTAGGAGATTTTCGAAATACTTGGCGGCAAAGGATGGTATGTCTGGTGGCTGGTTCCTCAAAACTTCTCTGGCAAGCCCTTCCAGCAGATTTGCGAATCCTCGAGGAATGCGTTGAGTGGTGTTGGAGAATGGAATAGACATTGTCTTTTAATAGGCTGCACCTGCAGTTTCAACACAAAAGCGGTGGATGACTCATATCCGAAAACAGCATTCTTATTCTATTGATATTTTATCATAGCGTTGTTTTAGCACACACAAATATAGCAAGTTTAGTTATGAAAACTCATACCTCCTCCATCCCCAGAACCATTCAATGAATCAAGTATGAACATTACGATATCTTACAAGTAAACTGGCTGGCTCTTATGTGGGCAATGAAAGCTGCAAATTGGGCCACGTTCAGACCACATACAGGGTCTCTACATCCTTAGAGGACTCTCCGGGTACACATAAAAATATAATTTCAGAAATTAATCCAAACCATACAAAAGCAACCTGCTGAGGCCTACGAGCAGCTAAATGTCAGCAAAAGAAGAAGAGCTGGTTTTATACCCCGCCCTTCACTACCCGAAGGAGTCTTGGAGCGGCTTACAATCACCTTCCCTTCATTTCCTCACGACAACAGACACCCTGTGAGGTAGGTGGGGCTGAGAGAGCTCTGAGAGCTGTGACTGACCCAAGGTCATCTAGCTGGCTTCAAGTGGAGGAGTGGGGAATCAAACCCGGTTCTCCAGATTAGAATCCGCAGCTCTTAACCACTACACCAAGCTGGGGGGAAAGGGGGGGCAGCCTGTTTAACCTACTCAGAATTTAACAGAATCCTGGATGCACTTGAAGCTCCCAGGTTCTGCCATTTCCAGATAAAAGGATCAGGTTATAGGTTCCAAATTGTAATGTCTTCACTATGACTTGGAAGATGCCTCCAGCTATGAGGAAAGGCAGAATATAAATATTTTAAGTATTAAGTGCCTGAGACCCGAGACCGTTGCTGCCAATCAGAGTAGACAATACTGACTTTGAAGGACTTGACGGTCTGGCTCAATACATGTGTTTCTTCTCTCTGCAATTACAAAATAAGCACTAGGAAATTAAATATCCACAATGTTAATGTTATGAATATCCAGGCAAGCAAAGTCAGCAAGCACAAGGGAGATATCTGCAATAATCCTTGCTTCTTGGGAGAATTTACGAATGCTAAACTTGAGTTGGCTTTGATACAGTCACAGTTTATGTTTGCAGCTCAACAAAGGGAACAGGTGTGAAGTTTTACATCTCTCATTACTCCTAATAAATGTAATTAGAGGCTCAAATACTTAGGTCTGCTAATTGCAAATTGTACTAATTTGCCTTCTGTTTTCATGCTGTTGTTAGACCCTGGCTGGGTTTCATTAGTTTGTTATTAATATTTATGCTTTTTAGAATGATTTTATTGTAGCATTCTACTTTTGTGAGCTGCCTTGAGCATGTCTCTGGTGTGCAACATATACATTCTCTAAATACATAATTTTTAAAAAATTCTGCTTGCAAGCAGTACACTATCTTTCTGGGTATTTATTTTGTAAAGCATTTACCAGAAGTGTGTCTGCACTATGCTCCTCTCCATCTATACAGGGACCCAAACACACACTTTTGAATTTGAGTTTGGTGATAGTGGTGGATAGAGACACCTGCAGAGTAGGTGGAGAAAAATCACCTGACATCTCCCCTCAAACATACAACACCTGTTGTTTTTTCATCACTGTTATTTAGAATTCTGTATTCACCTCAAAAGGTCCCAATGACGTCAAGAGGACTTGCTTGAAAGTAAATAAGATTAGGATACAGCCTTTAGAGCCCACTCCTAATCATGTTTACTCAGAAATGAAGATTTATCCCTGAGAAGTGTGCTTAAGATCACAGCCTTGGGTAAGTCATATATTACTTGAACAGCATGGAAAGTAGCCATATTGCAGCAGCTCCATGCCTTTCAGGTAATACATCAATCACTCTTTCATTTTTTTCCCAGCAGAGTTTAGGTAATTACTTTGAGAGTGGAAAAAATAGACCAGGAGAAGGGGGAGGGCTGTAGCATGTGGTATGAAGGGGCAATTAACGACATTTTGGCGGTGGTGGAAAGTGCTGTCAAGCCACAGCTGACATATGGTGACCCTGTTGGGTTTTAATAGAATCATAGAGCTGGAAGGGATCTCCAGGGTCATCTAGCCCAACCCCCTGCACAATGCAGGAAATTCACAAATATCCACCCAAACCCCAGTGACCCCTGTTCCATGCCCAGAAGATAGCAAAAAACCTCCCAGGATCCCCAGGCAACCTGGCCTGGAGAAAAATTGCTTCCTGACCCCAAAGTGGTGATCTGCATTTCCCTGGGTGTGTAAGAAAGGGCCACGAGAACTAAGTGCTGAGGCAACCCTGCCTGCCCTCCAATGTTCCCTCTAAGCTGTAGAGTCTTGTGAGCAAAAACTGTACTTTGTGAGCTACTGGCATGAAAGTTGTGAGCGAGCCATTTGGCGACTGCATAAATCAGTTTGCTCTGCAGCCATCCTTCCTGAGCTAAGTCAAAAATATGTGAGCGGGAAGCTAAAAAACTGAGAGCTAGCTCACACTAACTCAGCTTAGAGGGAACACTGCTGCCCTCTCTTTTTGTTATCTGCCTAAGTTCACAGAATCAGCATTGCTGTCAGATGGCCATCTAGCCTCTGTTTGAAAACATCCAAAGAAGGAGAGCCCACCACCTCCCGAGGAAGCCTGTTCTAAGTGCCTGGAAGTTCTTCCTAATGTTTAGCCGAAAACTCTTTTGGTTTAATTTCAACCCATTGGTTCTGGTCCGACCTTCTGGGGCAACAGAAAACAACTCCGCACCATCCTCTATATGACATCCCCTCAAGTACTTGAAGATGCTTATATCACCTCTCAGTCATCTCCTCTCCAAGCTAAACATACCCAGCTCCTTCAGCCTTTCCTCATAGGACTTGGCAAGGCAAGAGATGTTCAGAAGTGGTTTGCCATTGCCTGCCTCTGCAAACTGACCCTGCACTTCCTTGGCGATCCAATAACCAGTACTTAGCTTCCAAATGCTGACAAGATCAGGTTAACCTGGGCCATCCAGGTCAAGGCAATAAATGACTAGTAAAAGGACATTTCCCTGCAGAGAAAAAGTGCTGCTCATATCTAGATCCCATTACCTGTGTCCAGGATGATTGACTGGAATGGTATACCATCAAAGACAAATGCTATTACTAGTACAGCCAACATACTGGTTGTTATGAGAACATACAAGAAACTTTCCTTATGGCTTGTTAGAAGTCATATACAACACAAACCCCATTCAAGAAAAACACACATCATCCATAGGCACAAGAAAGCTTATGCCACCACTTGGTTTACATATGCAGTGGGATGTGGCAGAACCCTAAGCAGGCAGAACGGAGAGTGTACCTCTTCAAGGTGGGATATGCTACCCTGGAATGCTTCCCCACATAAGGGACTCCCTGCAAGTCAAAGGCTAGCCACAAAGGGAGAAAGGTTCACTCCCAGCTGTGCTATTTTTTTAATCGCAAAGAGGTTTTTTTCTTAAAATGTAGAGGACATTTAAACATGCAATTCATCGCCTGCTTTTTTTCAAGCCAGTATATTACCACCTCACTCTGCTTCATATGTAAATCAGGGAAGACTGTTTTTTAAAAAAGATATCTAAGCAGAGAGATTCTCAGCTGTCACGAAGCCCCGCCTCTCCTTCCAGATCAGAGAGGAGACGGCCGCGGTAGGTACTCCTCCCTGTGGGTCACTCTGCCCATGCTCAACGGCACTCTGGCTTTAACAGTCTTCCCCAGATCCTACAATTGTAAACTCGATCGCGAAAACAGGATCCGCGGCTTAGGGGGCCCAAGAAGCGCTACGTCGCAGACCGCTCACCGCGTTTTCCTGAACTCCCCGCTTCTTTGGCTGGGAGGATGCGGGAGAGATCAAAAAGCCCGACCAGTCCCGTGGTGCCAGTCCTCAACTAGAGCTCCACGGTTATCAGTTGCCCTGGCAACTCGAATGCGACGGCAGGCGGGAAGGGACATACGCAGCGCCGTTCAGAAAGCTGTCCCGGAATTCTTCCGGTCAGTCAAACCCCGCCCACCCGCGCCTTTTGACCGCTCTCTGTTGCCCGAAGGTCCCCCCCCCCCCAAGAGCCCCGTTTACTCGACTCGACTCGTTACTAAATTACCTCAGTCTCGCCCGTTTATTTTCGGTATGTGCGTCTCCGCGGTGGAGGAAAAGGTGGCAAAGCCGAGCCCTTAGATTCGAGCAGGGGCGCTTTGGCGCTCTCCGCATGGCTTGTTAGGGCCCATTGGCTTCACCCTCTGACGGGGAGCGCTCGAGAAAACGGCTGTTTTAGGGTGGCCGGCCGGTCATAAAGGGCCGCGGTGACATCACGGACTAGGCCTCAGGCCGACATCCCAGCCTTGAATAGGGAGTTATATGGCCCGGTTGGTAGGTAGTTAAGGCAGTTCCTGAAGAATTTCGCAGAGGAGGAAGCTTCTTGTATAGTTGCATCTGGGAGACCCAAGTTCGGATCCCCACTCCGGGTGACCTCTGGGCCAGTCACACACTCTCAGCCTCACCTACCTCATAGGGCTGTTGTGAAGTTAAAATGGAAGAGAAGGAAACGATGTAAGTGACTTTGGGTCCCTGTTGGGGAAACAGGTGGAATATAAGTTGTGGGAGCCAGCCTGCACATTACTTAAGGCTGCCTTGTTGACCGGCAGCCATATTTTAGGCTGGGGGGTGTGGAGTTGGAGCTGTGGAGTCTTGTGAGCAAAAATTCTACTTTGTGAGCTACTGGCATTAAAGTTGTGAGCAAGCGATTTGGCTACTGCATAAATTAGTTTGCTCTGAAGCCGTCCTTTCTGAGCGAAGAGAAAAATGTGTGAGCTACCTCACACTAACTCGGCTTAGAGGGAACACTGACTCCCACCGTTGCGCCCCCCCCCCCCAAGCACCAAGAATAGATGTTTGTATCCCACTTTTCTCTCCGATGGAGACTTAAAGTTTTGTGCATCAGTCTCCCATCCATTTTATCTTTATGACAACAACTGTGTCAGATGGGTTAGTCTATGAAAGAGTGACTGGAAGTGAGGTTCCATGGCAGAGAGGGGAATCGAGAGGATCTTCTGGATCCTAGTCAGTTCAAAACATACCTTAGTAGTTGCTGTGTGTCTGAAGGCAGGCTATGTCTGGACTAATGTCTTCGTATTCACATCTATGTATTTACTTGGGTATGCCCTTGAGATATGTTCATGCAAGGTGCAAGGATTTAGATTCTGAAGGCTGTGAGGGAGCTGAAACCCAGTTTACTCTGCATTGATCAATATTTTGCTTAGATCTTTTAAAACATCTCCTGTTGTGACATAACCCCCCTACTTCATATTTGCAGTTTTTAATATATATATCTACCTAATGAATGTGTACTTTGTACATCTGATGAAATGCACTCTGAGTCAAGAAAGCTTATGCTGGAATAAACGTTGCTCTTGTTTAAGGAGCCATTGGACTCTTGTTTATTTTCACAATTTACAATGTCATTCTATGCATATGTTGCCAAAGGCTTTCATGGCCGGAGTTCATTAGCTGCTGTAGATTTTACGGGTTGTATGGCCGCGGTCTTGGCATTGTAGGACCTGACGTTTCCCCAGTACTGGCATCCTCAGAGGTATAACACAGAAAGGTGGAGTACTCTCTGTGTCAAGGTGAGAAGATGCATGTTTACTCAGAAGTAAGTCTGACAAGTAAGTATATCAAGTCTGGTAACTCACTGAAAAAATTAGCAAGGCATGTCCCAAGGGCCAAATAGTCACAGGCCTTTCATAGACACAATCTCTTAGGAAATAACTCTTGTCACAAGTTGCGTAACAACAAAACACCTTAGGTTGAGGGCATTCCTTTTAAATACACTTGAGATATATGATAAGCATTTTTTAAACTACACTTTTCTTCCAGGTTTGGACCAGCCTTGTATGAGATCATAAGGAAGTTTGTCTCTTTAAGATGCTGGATGTTTAGGTTCTTATTTTACTTCCTGTCCTTTCGTCTTCCTGTTTTTAGTGAGATGATGGCGATTTGTCTGTTATGTATGCTCTCGTGGGCCTTTATGGCAGGTGAGTGGGGGATGCAGTTGCACAAATTATTTGTTGAGGGGCATATGTGTAGAGGAAGAGGGACCTGGAAGCCTTCCAGAATGGCTTACCTCCATAATGCTTAGCAACTTGCAGTTCATGTTTACTTACCTGTATATGCCACTTGAATCTCTCTGATGGGACGGTGTTTCTTATGGGGGGTACAAAAATTAAACTAGAACACAGTTTTCTTGGGGACTGGGTTTGGGAGCATTTTCTGTCTGATGAGAATGTTTTCATTGATCTTTGAGAGTTGTAATCTTATAACTTCAGTAATTAGTACAAATTTTATTTAATCAGTTTTTCACCCCTGTAAGTTTTGCTTCCTCTTTTCCTTTGTTCTGCATTCCAATAAGTATCTGACTTGCTTTGCAGTAGCTGGTTCCCCCCACTTCATTTTGTAAAGGGGCTTTTCCACCTTCTTTTCCTTTTATCTCTTTTTATTTCTGTTGTTTACTTTTTATACCTGTCATGTAAGTTCAGTTATTCAGCTGGCTGGAATTTTCATAGGGTCTGACTTTAAACAGAAGGGAGAGACAGTTATTAAGCTGAATGTTAAAACGACTGCTGCCATTAGTGGAGGTACTTACCCATTCTGTTTGGGATTTTTAAAAAACATTGAAATGTATTGTTTCCTTCATTTTTATGTGCATGTGGGTTCTTTTGTTAGCCTGTATTTACATTGCAGAAGTCAGAAAGAACACATTGCCATTATTTTATATGAGGAAATAATCTGGGTTTTGGACATGCTGAAGGCTTTCTTTCCCTTAGAAAAGCTATTTTTGGCAGTTTACAGCCAAAGTGATCGGTGATTGAATTGTTAATGAACACAGTGAAATAATGATACTGTTAAGGATGTGTTATTGAGATCAGTAGGGGATTTAAACAGAAGGGAGAGACAGTTATTAAGCTGAATGTTAAAACGACTGCTGCCATTAGTGGAGGTACTTACCCATTCTGTTTGGGATTTTTAAAAAACATTGAAATGTATTGTTTCCTTCATTTTTATGTGCATGTGGGTTCTTTTGTTAGCCTGTATTTACATTGCAGAAGTCAGAAAGAACACATTGCCATTATTTTATATATCTGGGTTTTGGACATGCTGAAGGTTTTCTTTCCCTTAGAAAAGCTATTGTTGGCAGCTTACAGCCAAAGTGATTGGCGATTGAATTGTTAATGAACACAGTGAAATAATGATACTGTTAAGGATGTGTTATTGAGATCAGTAGGGGATTTAAGAATCCATAGTTTAATATTAGTGGTGCAATACTTATTCTGAAGTAAAATCTATTCACATGTGTGGGACTTTTCAAAATAAGTACATACAAAATAGTCATGCTGGAGAGAACTCTCTGCTTAGAATTACCCTTTTAGACTTTGTACCTGAGTGGAGTAAATGCTGAGGAAAATATTTAACTTTCCTTAACTTTATCTAGCTGTGATTCAAATGGGTAGCCGTGTTGGTCTCAAGCATAGAACAGAGATTGAGTCCAGTGGCACCTTTAAGACCAGCAAAGTTTAATTCTGGGTATAACCTTTCATATGTATGCACACTTCTTCCGATACAGCTGTGCATGCACATGAAAGGTTATACCCAAAATTAAACTTTGTTGGTTTTAAAGGTTCCATTGGACTCAAACTTTTGTTTTATGTAGCTGTGGATAGAGATGTTTCAGTTCCAGAGGGAGAAAGTAAAGTTTCTTAACACCTACTAATTTTATTGGGTATGTGCAAATGTTAAATTAATGTGGCTCAGAAAGTGAGAATGTTGCCTCTTTTTCTGTTGGCCCTTCTCTTGGACTTTTAGCAGTAGCCTGGTATGCTGACATGTAGTATGTGAAGCTTTTCCCAACCCTTATTACAACAGGAGAAGTTTTACCTACTCAGCATCAGGGTGATGTGCAAAGCATGAGGCCAGGTCCCATAAAAAGATGGCAGTCCCATTTTAACCAATTTCAGTGTTATTCTAGGGAACATTTTAATATGTTTTACTGCACTTATGTTGACATGATAAAGAATTTGCTTCAGCATTGAGATGCTTTTTTATAATGTTGTGTCTGTGTATACTATTTTGTTAGCATCCCTTGATTGCTCATGCAGTCTCTTATGTAAATTCATTATTATTTTATCCCTTTAAATGCTCCTTAGGCAATGGGGGGAATCATTGCTCTGCCATGTATCAAATCACCTGTTTATGCAAAAAAATAGTTTACAAGTTTTAGCTTATTTGAATGAATGCCCACCTTAGTTTCAACATTTAACCCCCTTTAGTTGAATGTACCTCTTTGGAGTATAATCCTTTGCAGCTTTTTCCGGGAAAAATCTTGTAGTAGTGACTGATAGATGGCTTATATTCTCTGGATTTTTGTGGGTGAGTTGTGGACTGGTATCCAGAGTCCTACATTAGGTCTTATTCATGCCTAATGGGAGTTTTTCGATTTCCCCCCTTTCTTCCTCTGATCTCCATGCCAGATTGCTAACTACTTTTGAAACTCCACTTAGTTTCAAAAGTGGTTTATCGTGTGTCTCATGGGCTGCTGTTCAAGAAATACAAGTCCATATCCCCCGTCGGGCACAAATGACCAGTTGTGTGGTCCGTGGGAACATTATAGATGGAACTTCCAATATTTTTACATCCATAAATGACAAATATCAGCAGCCAGTTCTGAGCTGAGTCTCTCTCCATTTCTTCTATGTTTCTTCCATGTTTCTGATTCCCGTCCATTGCGTACCTGTCCTCTTCCTTGAGCTCTGGGGGTGACACCTTCTCCAAGCTCTGATGTATCCTTTGATGAGAAAGACAGCAGGAGTTCAAACTATAATAGCTCACATTGAGAAAACATCTGCTGATCATACTGGAATGTCAACCTAACAAAGGAATGTTCAGCCAGCAATAAGTTTTCAAAATGTGATGAATGTTGCTATTCACATATGAATGTTGACAATCCCTTTTTGCAGATTTCTAAAATCCCAGAGACAGAATGATGACTGTTGACACTCACCTAAACTGAATTATAGATATCCATCAGGGTTTGTCAACAAATGAGGGAAAGAAATATTTATTTTTTGATATTTGCCAAATTTTTGTAGGATTACCAATATTCGCATGCAACTGTCAACATTCACATTTCAGGCATTTTAAAATATATAGAATCTTATTTTTGTGTCAAATCATTATTGTTTAGTTGACTTTTCCTTTGGTGTGTGTGTGTATGGGTGTGCTTGTGTTTCCCCTGCAGTAAAAGCTGGTATGTGATCTGGTTTCTTGATTTTTTTAAAAACTGTAAGCAAGAGCCAAACAGAAGTATCCAAATGTGTGTTCCTCTTCTCAGTGTCATGCTTCCTAAGTATCCCCTTATAAACTGGTAGATATTTTTGCAGTGAGAAAGGTCTGATATTGGGGTGGCTTCACCACAGCCAATATACTGCAGGAGGATTCCAAAGAGGCCACAGACACTAACAGAAATGTTATGATATTTTGTGTGTTCCAGGTGCTGAACTTCGTTTTGCCTCCTATTTTGCTGACCACATGGTATTGCAGAAAGGTCCAGCTTGTGCAGTTTTATGGGGCTATGGAGAATCTAGTGCCAATGTAACAGTGATGGTTTACCAGAGTGACAATATTGTTATGAAAAAAATGGTACAGGCTGAAGGTAATAAATTATCAAATGATGTGAACGTGTTCTCCACCTAACACTTGTCCCCAGAAAGGCATGGCTCACTTGTGGCTTCCTCTGTCTAAGCTGCATATATCTGAGGGTGTTGATCTGTTTCATTATCAACAACACTCAATACAGTTTTCCACTCAAAAGACATAGCAACAGTTTTTTTATTGCTTGTGCTATGTTAAACTTCGGGCAAGATATATTGTTGTCTTTGGGAAAGGTACTATAGTCCTTGCTTAGCAGTACCATACCTGTGGTTGGGGCCAGAGCACTTAAAAGACGGCCTCCTGTACTGTCTGGCATGCCATTTGAGATTCTCCTCAGGTGCCCTGCTCTCTTCTCCCCCCCC